CTTCAACGGTAGATAGTTGGTTCGGTTCTCGCCCCGCCCGCCTGATGACTCGACAAAAGCGCGTGAGTTAAATTGAAATGTTTCCAAAATTTCTCTTCGTTTTTGTTTTTGGCAATAAATTTTCGGTTCACACGCAAATAAAAACTGAAACCGAAATACAGAAATTCGGAAATAATAAAATTTAATTTGCTACCATTTTCTGTTGACATTCACATTTTTATTTTATATTTTTTTTGGCGTAATTATAGAGTAAAGCGAAGCTGAACGTGCAGCAGTCCCAAGTCAAAGGGTTGTCCCACTGTCCACTGTCCACTGCCTGGTGCCCTGATCACTGATCACTGAGCAATGCTCAGCCATTCGGTTGGCTCCTTCGTGTATAATTAGACTTGAAAGCATATTTGTCAAGTTTTTAGTGAGCATCGAGGCTTCTCGGATCGGGTGCTTCAGATCAACAGGATGCGATATGGTAATGATAAAGAGCGTTGCCTGTTGCCTGCCTTTTTGCTTTCGTCTTTTTCGCCCTTTCGGGGAGCGCAACCGAATTGAGTAATTGTTAAAGTTTCTTCCTCTTTTTATGTGGAATTAAAGGGGGAACTGCTGCGAATTTAATTGAATTTTTGTGAGTCTGGGAGCTGGAATTAAGTTACTGAAAGATATTCCACGAGAAAGGACTGTGAGGAGACGGCATTTCCAAGGGCAATGAATCTAATTGTGTAAGCTGTTTCCTTGCCACCAAATGAGAACGTTTCTTGAGTCCTTGTGCCACCTAAAAGTAGGCAGTAATGATCGAATCCTCATAGGGGAATATGTCCTTGAGCAGAATGGGCAAAAGGCCGAATTTTCGCGAAGTTTCTTTACTTTTCCCAATTTAGATCATTCTAAAACATAATCTGATGCATCTTTTGCTCTCTTTCTCATATATGTGGCTGGTTAAACACCATTCAATAGTTCTCTTCTGATCACTAATAAAATGTACAAAAAAAGATATAAACCAAATGTCCATTTCCCACATTAACGAAATACAAAAATGCCAGATGCCCGCAACAAGTTTAACCAACTTAATTGACTTTTTGTAGACAATGATGCTAAGCAAAAAAAATACAAATATAAAACAAGAAAGCAAGTGCCAGATTAAGAAAGTCGCGAGAGCAAATACACTTGAATATTTGAGGGAAAATCAGGGATAAAGACTGGCTAACAATGGAAATATAAAGTGAACTCGTACCTTAAAGGGGTGAACATTTTCTAGAGCATAAAGATCACTCAAAGTATTTTAAATGGTGATATTTTGCTGCCTCTTAAGTGCATTTTGCCACACATATTCTTCTAGTTAGTTACCATACCCTTCCTAAAGTGTATCCCAACAGTGAACCCCAACTAATTCAATAATGAAAACATATCAATAAACACAAGACGCAGCTGTGGACAAGTGACTGCTTGGCCTGGCCTGTGTACCGTCCTATCCTGCTCCGCACTACTCTGTCCTGTCCCGGCTTGGCTTTCAAAAACACTATACACGAGCTTCAGAGAGATGCCCCGAGAGCAGGCAACAATTTGTGCAAAAAATACGACTACTCGAGTACGTGTAAATGTGGATAAAAACGTAGAAACGGAGCTCAGAGCTCTGAGCAGCGCAGCATGTTGTCTGACAGGAGTTGCAGGAACAAAAAGCCACAAGCCAACAGCAGCCAGCAACAATAATTAAAAGAAAAAATTTAATTGATGCATTAAAGAGCTGGCAACGTGTTTTCCAGCTCGGTTGGGGCCAGTTTTTTCGTACCAGTCCCTGTCCAAGATGAGAGCCTCTGTCTCTGCACTATTTTTAACTGGCAGAATGAACCTCCAAAGTCCCCATTGGAGAACCCTAGCACAGCGTATGAGGAGATCTCATTATGTGAGTGGCAGTCCTGGCATGTTGTTTCAAATATTTACATTAAAATTGTTTACATTTAGTCTCTGGTCTGTTCTGGTCTGGTCAGGTCTGGGTCTGGGTCCGATCTTGGGCGGTTGATCTGATCTCTCTTTAAAGTAATTTTACAAATTTTTGGAATTTTTGTGTTGGAGCTAAAAACAAATGACTGGTGAAACGAACTTGCAAAGATGTTTGCCTGTCACTGTAGTAGATCATCTTACTTCCGCATCAATAATGGCTCGACAATGCCAACAGCCGCCTAAAAAGCAATCAAAGGACAGCTGCGCCACTCCACACACAAAGTTTGCTCTAAGATATGTTGCCCCTGCCCTGTCCTGCCATTATGTTCTTTATACAGGACATGACTTTGTCTAAGATAAATTGAATTAGAGACGCCAAACGCGCACAATTCATCATCCGAGAGCAGCGCACACATGATAGATAGTTGTTGGAGGGTTTGTGCGCCGAAGAGCGCATAAAAAAGGAGAACCAAAGACGAGCACTGAGAAACCGAAACCCTCGTAGTAGGAGTAGACATTTTAATTTTCCCAAAAATAGATTGCCAGATGAATGGATAGCATGGATGCTTGAGGGTTTGTTCTGGCTGCTGCTTTCTTCTTAGGGATCTTAAGTGCCAGGGGGAAACTGGAGCAGGCAGCGGGGAAGTCTGATCCTTAAGCCGCTCTACAGATGCGTAGGCTGCATCGAAGAAAGGAGTAGCCCAGATCTAGAGTTTCCCCTTCTTCTTATCCTTTTTTGTCTGTTTTTTGTTGGTCTATTTTTTCAAGGTGTGGCCACGCAATCTGCGCCGCTTTATTGTCTTGATTTATGGTATGGCACGGGAGGGAACTGCGTCTTGGCCGGCTTAAGCAGCGAAAAGAAAAGGATTTAAGTCGGGCTTCTTGCGGCTTATTAGTTGCGCTGGCTTAAATCACATGAATGGGTTTTGGGTTTGGTTTTTGGGTTGTGCCTGCTGCGCCGGCACACGGAAGCAGCTGCTACTCTTTAATCCTCAGGACTTGCTCCCACCTTCCGCTTTGGTCGGCAGCCAGGATCACAGCCAGAGCCAGGCGAGAGACGCGAACCAGTTAACACAACTGTCGCCAACCGGCTGCTGCTGGCGGCTTTTCAACAATTTTCTCTTCCTGCAACGACCACAAAACAGCAGACGACAGACAACAACGATTGAAATGCTGTTTGTGATTTTTAATTGAGAAAAAGCAACGATAAAAGGGGTACAAACTATGATCGAAGCTTCTTTACTCTATTTGTCATGGAATAAATAAATTGGCCAAACTCTCAGACATCCTACCTTTCTTATTATAACCATGGACATAACACATACTCTTCTAGGGCATCAAAAATCCAACCGTCTGCTGTGTAGTTCGGCTGCTGGCTGCTAATTAATAAGCGTACTGTCTCCTCCCGCCCGCTTATTGTCGGAGGCAAAGACTACTTGCTGCTTGGGGCAGGACCGACGCATTGCTCTCTCATTGCACTCCGGGCATAAATGCACACTTTTAGCATTTCTCGGATTCCCCAGCTGTGGCGCAAAACGTGCAGCCTTATGACAGCCTTCCTTCCCAACAACGACAACGACGATGACCACGACGAACCACTGAAGGCAGAAGATCAACAGCTAGGGGGAGAGAGACCAAGAGAGCAACTGCAGAAAGGAAAACGAGTTGCCTGCTGGAATATTAAGAATTGTCATATCGAAAAGTCAGAGGGGTATTCAATGCCAACTGGTACGGGAAGTCACAGTGCGAGTGGCATTTAGTGATATTTGAATGCTCTTACAACGGATTCTACATACATTGAGCATGGAAAAATATTGTTAAGGTAAATATAGCCTTCAGTTGGATTCACATAACCCCACTCTAAATTCCCCAAATAATGCCCAAGACTCACTCTCTTTGTAGAGTATTTCCTACAATTGCTGACCAACGGCTTTATTGAGTGACTTTGTATTGATTTCTGTATTTTTGAGCTATTGTTTATGCCTGAGAAGCATGTCCTGTTTAAATAGAAGCTCCTAGCCTTGTAGCCTTTTGCTGTATTCTCTTAAAATTATAATCATCTATAGAATACATGACTTTCTGTATGTCTGCGGAGGAATCACTCGCCGTAACTAATTACCATACGATTTTTTTGGTGCTCTTTCCCACCGACATTTTTGTCTAGCTTTTCCTTAATTTAATTACAAGTTTTATTTGGCTGCGTTTGTGTTTCTTTTTTTCGGTTTAATGTGCTCCCAACTTCGGTGTTGATTACCGACAGAAATTTGTTTTCTAATGATTTTTATTACACATCTAATTTGGAGGGGTTTTTGTCTACAATTATTTCAACGGCTGATGCGTGAATATGTTTGTATCTCCTTGGGGTCTGCTCTGTCCCTACAAGTGTCAACGGAAACGCCTTAACAGTTTTACAAGTTCATTAATTTATGATTGCAAATGTAATCAAAATGTAAGATGGTGGATACACTACCTGCCTGCTAATTAACAAAATATCACTCATATAACTACAATTCTACAAAATTCTTCAAACTACAAAATACACCGGTGTCTTGGGCTATCCGCAAGGCGTACAGCGGAGCAGTTGAATTCCGTGGAGGCAGTGCAATTCCGGCACAGGTCCAAAAAAGGGCACCCATCGTTGTAGACATGGAGGGGCGAGACACGCAAGGATTGGCTGCTTGTTTTGTTCATTGCAAATCGCAAGAAGGTCGCCAATATATACGATTTCCGCAGCAATATAATCATACATAATCAAACATTTTCGATGCAAAACGGTCGAGCATCAGGCGTTGTATCGCCAGCCCCAATTCGAGTATAAGAATTCCAGTGGCACAAAATGTTGGATTCAACAATAGTTCAAACGGGTCTTTACAATTTATGCACCCAATGGCGAGACCAAACTTGGGTTTGTGTATCCCATTGCCAAGCCGGATCGTTATCCAATCTTTGCCAGACAAGCGAAATTCATATTTCCCGCAGTGACATACATCTTTCACAGCTGTGAGCCGGCTTAAGGTCAGTGCCAACAGGATACTCATTAAACAGTTTTTTATTTTATTTCAAAGATTTTTGTTGTAAATTATTCATGCAATGTTTCCAGGCGGCTTGGCCGTTGCTTGTGAGGCTGCAGCAGTCGTCTCGGCGGGCCCTTGTCCTGATTGCTGTGACTCTGGACTGCGGCCCAGTGGCACCAGCAGCGGACCCATGGGGCGGCGTGCGCGTGGTGCGCCACGTGTTCCACGACTTATAGGTGCCGGTGTCTTGGAGCGGGGTCGTCCTGGTCCGCGCTTAACGGCGCCCGTGGGCGATACGGATTGCATGGTGGGGCTCTGCTGCGGCGTTGGGAGATCTGTGGGGTAGCGTAGATATGCGTAAACAAATTAGTTAATTGACAAAAGGAATTATCGAAGCTAGAGTCTGGGCTGTACATGGCCAAAAACTTCGGGCTGACAGGACCAAGGATCACAGGCATAATTTCCATTAATTCCCTTAGCATTTGTTGCCGCACGTACACCATCCACAGTTGCATACAGACACTGCAAATCCTTGCATGCAATTGTGGTTTTTATAATTGTCCCAAGCCCAACCCTGCGACGTAGCCTCCGCCCCGTGTTACAAGGAAATTTATGCAACGTTGCGTATTTGCCAGTGCGATTATGTCTCCATTTTTCGGGCCAACATGCTGCAAATGTTGTTCCTGTCACGTGTACAACAATGCAACGCCCCTGTCCCTGCCCCTTCCCACCGGCTGCATCGTCTGGGTGTCTGCGTCATTTAAGCGGATTTATGCAATTATCATTTGTCGTACGACTGGAGTCCCCACCCGTCCCTGAAAATGGCCATATTTCGCCACAGTTTAAACACCATTTGTTTGACTTTAAATTCTGGACAGATGGGAAATTACATTTACTGGGAAATTATGTATTAAAAGTGGCAACGTGACACGTGTTCTAGGAGGGGCATTACGACTCTATAAATGAGTAGCTCAAAGGCAAGATGTAACCATAAAGCATGGATAGATATCCCCAGAAGGTTCGCGAAGATCTCACCAAGCAGTGCTGCAGATAAAGCCAGACAGATGTAAATCTTTAAGCAAATATTTGCCTTGACTTGCCAGAGCTGCATAAAAGGGGCAGAAAATGCTTGACAATTTTATCGTTTATTTGCTTAATTTTAATAAAGGGTGGGCAGGGGAGGAAGACTTTGAATATAATCCATTTTGGGGAGTGCGTTGAAATTGTCACGTACCACAAAGTGGCGGCGTTATTCCTGCGGGTTGTAATCGAAGCCAAGAAAAGTATCAAACAAAAAAGAAAACAAAAAGGGGGAACGCGGAACGGCAGATCAACCACAAAAGCAAAGTGCAGATAATGTTGCCCAAAAAATACGAGTAAGAGGACGAGTGCCCCGGAAAAAAGGCAACCGATAAACGTGATTATGACAAGCGATTACTTAGTGACAAGTGACACTCAATCGAGTGGATAAGAGAGGGGAGGGGGAATGTGGAGTGGTGCCACCACTTCATGGAGAGCCGGAAAGGAAGGGCAGCACAGTGCAGTGAAAGAAAAATAGGAAGAAGTCCCCGAATGTACTTCAGTTTTACTATCTACAAAATATCACAAAACTTCCATCAAATTATGGATTCAAGCTGCTCCTTTGATATACAAATTGTATTCATGTTCCTTCACAAATTCTCATTATCTTATTCTTTGTTTCTTTCAGTGTTGTTCTTACCTTCTTCATTGAGCGGCACGGGCGCATACTCGCCACCGCCACCGCCGCCGACTCCGACTCCGCTTACTTCCTGCTGTAGCTGTAGCTGTGGTAGGGGAGAAGACGTTCCTGATCCCGCTTCCCCTGCTGATCCTCCTGCGGCGGGGGACTGCTGCTGACCCTGCCCCTGCCCCTGACCCGGCGAATGCGTTGGCGTCAGCACGCGCTGCAGCGAGCCATGTCCGCCGCCCCGTCTCGTGCTGCCACGTGGTCGACCGCGTTTGGTGCCGCGCGGGTGGTGTCGCCGTCGCATCGGCGAAACGCCGCTCATGTCGCTCAGGAAGTCTGCAAAAAAAAAACAACAACAAATTATGTTCAGCTCATTATTGATTAATTGCGGTTAGAAAATTGAAGGAGGTTGATGGAGGTTGGCCCCTAAAAAACACAGCTGGCGTGTGAATCGAAGAACGAATGTATAAAAAATAACCCCGAATTTTGTTACATTTTATTACAATTTTCTGGTCGTTAAATGGGGGACTGTAATTATTTCTGTTGGGCAGCCTGATGCTTGATGAGGATCGGTGTGCGTTGATGTATTAGGGGATAAAGATTAGTTTGGGATATCAGCAGGGATATGACCATGTAAAGAGCAATAAGTATTAACTGAAAAAAATAGTCTTAAATATGGAATTTTGTAAATAATAGCTTTAATGCGAAATATGTTTTTCATCGAAAAATAAGAATTTTGATCAAAAATCAACATAGCAGAACTTTGTTTCGATTTTAGTATCAATTGTTGACTACTTTAAACGATAATTTCTTGTCTTACCAAACGTCTGCGATTCTCTTGAGGCCTTCAATGCCAACTAATTGATTTATCATTGATCAGCTCTCATCAGCTATCGAGCGATCAAACATCGATCATTTGTTGCCACCTCTAGCTGTTGTTTTTGGCGAAGATTCCACAGCGATAAGCAGCCCAGCACCCACTACAGTAAGCAACGTAACTATGCGGACAACTTTATCTATGCCATGACCATATATTCTCCCACTAACGTGTGGCATTTGATGCCCCAGAGACCAACCACGAAACCAAGAGCCAACCAGCAACTAGTTCAACTTTTTCAAATGGGACTCGCGGGGGGTAAGACTTTTTGCATATTTTAATTCGGCTCTACGAAGCACTGGGTCCTACGGTTTGCTCCCTAACTGTAAATTGCATAAATAAAACAAACGAAGACGACGGAGACGACGACGAACAGCATTCATTGGCAACAAAAGTTGCAATCTGCAGGCAGACGACAGCAGAGAGAGAGACACAGAAACAACACACGGGAGACAGACAACTGGTTGTTGGAGAGGAATGAGCTGGCTGGGGGGATTGTTGTGTTGTGTTGTGTTGTGTTCTGGGTCTGGGTTTCAAGTCAGCAAGTTCTTGGCGACATCGCCTGGCGCTTTGCTATTTTGGTATGCAACACACAAGTGCATACAGTCAGCAGCCAGCAGCATACAGCCAGTCATCATCATCATCTTCTAGCTGATCCCATATCATGATCGACATTGTCTCGACAGTGGAAGAGTCGATCATCATCATCATCATCGAGCGACATTCAGTGGAGTCGATCAGCATCCTTGTACGACAGTGTGTGGAAGAGTCATCATCATCGATCGACAGTCTATGGGTTCTTTCATCATCATACGACAGTCTGTGCAGTCGATCATCATCATCGTACGACAGTCAGTGGACCCGATCATCATCATACAACAGTCGCCAGAGGAATTGTCTACAAGCCACAGCTCAACATTTGTTGGCCCCAAAGAGGGACAGAGAAGCAGCTCTGCTAACTCTACACGTTTAATGATAGGGTTTACTTTTACTGTTACAACAAATAAAACAGAAACAAAAACAAAAACAAAAACGAGAACAGGAACAGGAACGGCAACCCAACAGAATGCAATGCAACAAATTATTGAACTGTAGCAAAGTTCAGGCTTTAGGCTTTCAGTAGTATTCAGGCATAAGTTTTATCAATAATATTCAATCCAAGGCCCAAAAGAGGTTTTCCTTTTCATACAAATATATTTTAGGTATATTTTTTGGGAACCTTGTTTTGACATGTATTTCGGTCAAACGTCGAGGCATTGCAGCAAAGACATCGAAAAAAAAAACGGCAAAAGTTTCGCTTTTTAGCATATTTCAGCTGTCATCGCGGGGAGTGCTGAGAGGAGGGAGTTTTTGGGGAATGGGAAAATGGAAATGTTGAGTGTGATATACTATAGAATTTTCTAAGGATAGGTCTTTGCACTGACATACTCCCAATCCAAAAGGAAATGCAGTTCAAAACTAATTAGAAATTAAGACAAATTGAGAACAATTATTAGACATTTTTTGTAGACTGAAAAGATGAATCTGAAGTGGAGTATTCCTCACCTTTCGCACACATTTTTCATTTACTCCTAAGAACTTTATTTTCCTGCACCAAAATTCCCAAGGACTCTTCGAAAAACCAGAAACTTTCGCCAAAAAATTCACCCGAAGAACCCTTTGCTTTCCGCCCCACAAAAACTATCAATAATAGGCATTTCCATTTCCTTTGCCAACGCTTTAGCTAGTTGTTGTAGTTGTATTTATGATTGTAATAAATATTTTCGCTTTTGTTTGGATTGTTGCTGCCGCCTGCCACGAGGGTTACCCGTTCGGAAGTTTCCTTTTGGGGCCCACTCCATGGATTACCAATTGGCACGAACACAGCAAACATAAACACACAGAAAAACTGCAGCAAAAATAAGTAAAACAGGGAAGTATAAAATAAAAAAGAACTAAAAAACAGGAAAGTAATAAAACAGAAACAGAAAAGAAACTGAAGGTAATGGCAGCAAAGGAAAGAAAAGAGAGAAGCAAATCTGGCGAACATAATCGGATTTTACAAATCATTCATTCAATTATCTAATTGATTTGACTGATGATCATTTGTGAACCTTGATCCTAGAGAGATCTGCAAGCTGCCTGCCAGCCTGCCTGGAGTTCCTTTGGAATTCTTTGGTGCTCAATGTGACGCATGTTTGTTACGCCTGATAAATGCAATGACTTCAGGGACAGGGCCAAACTCATCTTGGACAGCCTTTGCCACAGACACAGTCTCTCACCTTTGACTGTAATGCGCCTGCCCATGACTAAGTGGCTCTTACAGGGCTATGGGCTATGAGCTATGGGCTATGGGCTCTGGCCTGGGGCTCTTCTTCGCTGTCTGCTCTGTGACTGTGACTCTCCTTTGACTTTGCAGATTTTCAGGCTTAGATTACATCTCTGGTCTGGGCTACTGTAAGCCCATAAAAAGTCAAATAAATTGCAATTCTTATCTGTGTGTGAAATTGTTAATTTTTTAAGGGATTTGTTTCGGGGTTTATGTCCGCAGTCTGCAAATCATTTTGAAGACACGGCAAAGTACCCTTAAAATGGGAAGGAAACAAATAATGTGCAAAATCTAAAGCTGAAATTTCTGTGATATCTATGAGCAATAACCTTCGATGGCTAGCTTGTTCTATCGTTGAATTCCTTCACTATACTTTAAACACTAAACAAATAATAAAATATATAATAAGCTGCCGAATGTTGTGCCAAAATGTATAGGCAAACTTTATCAATGGATCAAATTTTGAGCGGATTTTGCGTTTGAAACTCCACCGATCGATCAGGAACCTATTCTATCGCATCACATATAGAAGTATTCAAATTCGCGACGTGACACCGGCCTGGACAGGTAGAGAAGACGTATCTGGTGCATGCGCCAGCCCTGGGCCGTGAACTTCTTACGCTTCGGCGGTGGCACATCCAACGGGTCAAGCGTGCGTGGCGGAATGGCGCAATGTGGTGGCCATGGTGGCATAACCTTCGGCCTGGCCAAGCTCACAATTCGCGGCGTGGGACGCCCCTTGAGCGCTTGCTTTCTGACGGGAAAACGCAACGTGGCCCAGAACTCATCCTCAATGTCAGAGTTGGGAAAGCAGCAGGGCATATGCGGAGGATCAAAGGGGCGACCCTTGTCGGGACGCGGCTGCTGGCCCCACACAATCATGGGGTTGTAGGCATTCACTGGGTAGACGTACTGGTGCACCTTGCGCTGCCTGCGCGCCAGTGGAATGGCCAGCTTCTCCATCTTCTCCAGCATGTCCAGATCGTCCTCATCGGCGACCTTTGGCTTGCCGCACGGCAGATAGTCCGCCTCGCACGGGATTTCACGTGGTGGCGCCTCGGGCAGCTCCTTGGGCATGGCTTTCGAGGATGCCCACTCGTAGAAGCGCTGCCAGTCCTTCTTCTTCATGGGTCCGGCCTTTTGCCAGGGCGTCAGCTCCCGCTCCACCTTCGGGCGCACTCGCACCCGTGGCTTGGCATTGCGCTCCACCCAGGCCATCCACGACGGCTGGTCCTTGTCGTCCGGCGACACTCCTCCATCGCCCTTACCCCCTGGCACCTGCGGCAGCCTAAAGTCCTCCTGACTCATTGCAAACAAATTATATTTCCGTAAGTGTTTCCTGCTGCAATTAAAATTTCTACACTAAAAATTTTTTAATATATTTCAGATAATATTTTTTGGGTTGTAGTTTCGATAGAAGGTAAAACTCAATTGATTTTGAGGCTAAATTTTGGCCTAAACTGGGTTTGAAATTGCCTACTCGATGACTGCCTCAAGTAGTACAGGCAGCACAGATTTTCCTGTATACTTTACGTTATTTAAAATTAGATAAAAAATAACTGAACATTCATTGAAAATTCGCAGTAAAAAGACAACTTGTGGCAGCGCGTTTAGGAAGGATCAACCGCAGCCATGGGCAGTGGGATAAACATGAACATTGGCGATGCGCCCGCCGCTCCTGCGCTGACAATATCCGCGGAACATATCGCGCAGAAGTCTGCGCCCTCGTGGGTGGAATGGGTGGAGCGAAACTCCAAGCCGCTGGTGCGCAAGCGGCACCAGGAAGAGCGCAAATTAACCAAATGGCAGAAGAAGGGACCCATGAAGCAGAAGGACTGGAAGAAGTTCTTTCATTGGGCAGAGAAGCGCGCCATGCCACAGGAGAGAAAGTTCAAGGAGGAAGAGCAGCAGCAGCAGTTGTTCCATCAGGCCAGCGGCAGGGCCGCAGGGAGTCTGGATGTGTATGATCAGGCCGACAAGCTCGAGGAACTGGCCAGGCCACGCATTGTTAACAAGAAGCACCAGTTCCACGACAACGAGCCGACCTATTCCCCTGTCATCGTTTTGGGACAGCCGCCCCATCGGGACAAGGGTCGTCCCTTCCAGCCTCCCTACGTGCCCTGCTGCTTCCAGCACGACGATGTGGAGGCCAACTTCTGGTCCCAGCTGCGTTTCCCCATACGCAAGGAAGCACTTCGCACCAGTGCCACGCCACGCATCATCAGTCTGGCCAAGCCACGCACCCTGCCCGTCCATCCCCATTGCCCTATTCCCCCACGCAGCTTGGACCCGCTGGATGTGCCACCACCCAAACGCAAGAAATTCACAGCCCAAGGCTGGCGCCTACATCAGATTCGACTCATCTATCTGTCCAAGCCCATGAACAGGGGGCACTACGAATATTTTTATTTGTGAGCGAAGGAGTGCAGTATGTGCCTCCTTTTCGATTCTGTTTTCTTTTAGTTCGAATTGGATTCAAATTTTAAGTGTGATTGATATTTAAGAAGGAAACTAACTCCCTTTGGTGGTTTTTAAGTGAATTTTTGTACATTTTTAGCGACTTGAAAGAGGGCTTTAGAATCATGGAATATTTTCTTTGCGAGGGATAGATTTTCAACCTAATTTTTCGATACACGAACCACCACAAAACTGCAAAAGGAACAACAGGGTATAGACCATTTCGTACTTCGCTCTGTACATCAGCGAATACATTCCTTTCCCTCTGATACCAAGCCACGCCCTTATACACCTCTAAAACCCCTTCTAGTTTACTTTCCACGACATTTAATCTACTTTCAGACACTAGAAATTTTCAAGAAGGCACCAAATAAATCAGCCACTAAACCATAGTTCAATCAACTGGCAGCAGCATCAAATTTGCTCCCCAGCTCCAATTAAATGCTCTATGGCTTGGTGCAGATCGTTTAGCTCCTTCGAAGCCTTCGCTCCTTCGTTTACCACCGATCACAGAAGCATGGCAGATCTGCCAGCATTCGCTCACTGGGCTGGGACAAAAACTTGAGACGCCTCAGATGGGCACGCCACTGGAGTGGCGACATTTTCGTACGCTTGAGCGGCACATCCAACAATTCCGGCGGCAGTGGACAGTGGGGTTTGGGTGGCATCGTTTTTGGTTTCGACAACTCGCAGTCCTTTCGCGATGGCATCGTTTTGCAGGCGCTCTTTGAGACGGGAAAGCGTACGGTAGCCCAGAATTCGGCCTCCACATCCTCGTGCTGGAAGCAGCAGGGCACCTTGGGCTTGTCCGCCGGTCTGCCCGACTCTGGCCTAGGACAAGGCTGATAGGCGAGCCGCGGGCGGTAGGGAAACAACTCCTTAGGCGGCGGTTGGTACTTTGCACGGTGCCAACGCGGTTTGCTCAGTCGACAAAATATGTCCTGATTCTCTTTATTCTTCGCTGAGCCGCCCGATTCGCACCGTGTCCAGCCCCCAACCGGCTTGGGTGGATTTTGCATACTCGGAATGCCCTCATAAGTGGGCGGTGGCGCATTTACCCTCGGAATGGGCGGCCTCTCGATGGGCACAGCATTCACCTGGCACCACTTGTAGAAGTTCACCCAATCATCGAGGTTCATGGGTCCTGGTCTCTGCCACCTTGTGGGCTCCGTCTTGAAGGGTGCCACATAAATGGGCTTGGGCTGTGCATTGCGGACACACCAGGCCTTGGAGCTACTGCTTCGCTGCGGCGGCCACATGCTTCTGTCGGTTCAAACCTCCGGAAAATCCAACGGCAGAATTTGTCAAAGAACAGTTACGTTTAAAATTTATAGTTTAAAATTGTTTCTCCTTTTTTTTTTTAGGTATTTTTCATGGGTGGTTTTGTTGGTTTCTTTTTTAAGTATTGATTTGAAAATGGTTTTGTTAGCAGGGTTTTGTTTGCTGTTTTTTTAGGGTTTTTGTGTTGCATTTTGGAAAGTTTGCAAGTTGAATACTGATATGGGACACTAACTCCTAATAAAGTTCCTTAACTATAGCTTTGGAAACTTTAACATGCAATTATATTTGGCATAAAGATAATTTGATGACGATTATTTGAGTATAGCAAAAATCTTCACTCTGGAATTCTGTCATCAATAACCACACTCTATCCTTTGTCAGAATTTCTCCTGCTTTTCCTAGACACATTCCACACATTACCATCGCTTCGATTTTTCAAACTTTCAACTTTTTACTGGCTGCTGAATGTGCCCCCAAAACGACTCAATCATGCGCCCCCTGATCCGGCCAGCACCTTCAACCAATAGTCAATTTTGTCCAGCCAGTGGCAGCTTCTTCGGGCATTGTCCATGGCGACACGCATTCGAGGTCATAACCCAATTCCTATCGACGCAGTCAGTCGGTTGTCTGCAACTGTATTCCGCAGCTATCCATTATCGGAGGAGCCAGCTACAGACTGCCTTCCCTCTTGGCTTACTCGGAGGAGCAGCACACTCAGCCTGCCTCGTGGCTTACTCGGAGGAGTCTTCGCAGTCGTCGTCTCAGTCGTCGGTTGTTGTCTTCAATTGAAATTCGGTGCGCATTGCAATCGATCGCACTTTTTGTGGCCTGGCCTGGTGATTGTCGTCGTATGCCTCCTCCTCGTACTCATTCCCCTTCGTGTTGTTGTTTGTTTGTTTCTACCTTTCTAACGTTGGATTGGACTCAGTCTCGGACTCTTCTCTTGACTCCCTCTCCTACCTGTTTGGGGTCTGTGGCTCTGTCGCCCATCTTCATTATCATTGGATCGGCAGCAGGCAGCAGCGCGTTGCATTTGATGATGTGCGACATTGTCGCCATGGCCATGAGGATCATTATTAACATCATGATGATGATCATGATCGTGGCAGCAGCATTTCTTGTCGGCATTTTGTACCCTGCCATTGTCATGATTTGTAGTCGCCAATGGGGCCCCCTCCGGCTCGCTCTGTCTCTCTCTCTCTCTCTCTCTGTGTCTCGATGTTTGAAGACTTTTAAATCCCAAATCCCTTTGGAAAGTTTTGTTCCCTGGACACTTCCGGCGTCCCCCGGAACTTGTTTAATCTAAAACCAAGGACAAGGACTACAAAAATAATAAGGGAAAGGAAAAGAGTCATCAATCTGTGATGGTGACCGCAAAAGTGCCTCATAACATGTGTGAAATCGACACCACAGATGCGGAAACGACGGCAATTTTACGCTACATTTAGCTAATGACACACACCAAAACCCCATCCCCTCGGCACTCGTTCTATGGCAGATGTACGTAGGAGGGTTCTTTCTGATACATTTGGAGGAGCCAGCACAACCCCCAAAAAGAAGAAATGACTTAAAAATTGAGGCAACACGAAGAATGTGGGGAAGGTTCTTTTTTGTTTTATTTTTTTGGCTCATTAGGGGTGTGTATGGAAGAGAAAAAAGTCAAGTAATTTGAAGATATTTTAAATTAGTTTTTTCGGGATAAAGATTGGATAGGTAACATTAAAGAATTTCTATGGAAAGACTTTGTTTTTTTTTTTTCTTCTGGACGTTGATATGCAATGACTGCACCATCAAGTGGCCCATGCGACACCAAGCCAAAGCTGGTGCTCCCGCCCAACCGACCGAGGGGCGCTGCCGCATGACGCGCGGAGCGATTAACCGAACCGGTCGCGAGCATGCAGGAAAGATAGATGTTAGGCTAATATTCGAGGAAAATTAGAGCTAAACATAACTAGACTAGAGCTACTATAGCTAAGCAAGCAAAAATTACCAAAATAACAAACAAGACAAAACTAAAATGAAACTAATTACGGGAGAGGTAGGCTAGTATAAGAGATTTAAGAAGAGGAAGGGAGTTAGTTGAGGATATAATTTGCATCTCCCTTAATATTAGGCTCGTATTTTGGGATTTCCCAAGCACACTCCGTATTAAGCTAGATGTATCACCTTCCTTGTTTCCTTATTTCAAAGATCACCCAGATTACCCTTAGCATTTCAAATACGCCGACAGCAAGTCAGGGCTGTCTACATCCCCCTTGATCAAGTTGTGCATAAAAATTACACCAAGCATTTTTGTACGACTAACTAAGGATGGAAGACCTTATTAAAATAAGTCTACTACGGTAGGATGGCAGTCTCACAGTTGCATCCCAGTTAAGGCCCCGTAGGGCAAATAATAAAAAGTTTTTCTGTACTGATTCAATACGGTCCTGATGTATGTTGTACTGAGGGCACCATACACATGAGCCGTATTCTAAAATCGGACGAACAAGCGAGATATAGAGAGTCTTCGTTATATAGGGGTCCTCAAATTCCTTTGACCACCTCTTTATAAACCCAAGCACACCCATGGCTTTATTTACCATGGTAGAAATGTGTTCAGAAAACTTTAACTTTGGGTCTAGTTTAACACCTAGATCATCAACCAATGTAATTCTCTCAAGAGAACTACCGCAGAGGGTGTAAGGAGCCAGGAAGGGGCTGGAGCGATAAAAGGTCATAACATTGCACTTCGAGGCATTAAGTTGTAACATATTTGCACAGCACCATGACTGAAAGCTATTGAGATCAGATTGCAAGCGAGAGTGAAATGAAATGTCCTTATACTGGACACAGAGTTTATTGAATTTGTTAATACAGAAGGCAGGTCATTAATAAAGAGTGTGAAAAGTAAGGGGCCTAAATGGCTACCCTGTGGTACTCCAGAAGTAACCATAACAGGTAAAGATAAGGAGTTTTTGAAAAGGACCCTTTGAGACCTAGAACACAGCTAGCTAGAAATCCATCTCAACAGATTGGGCGGAAACCCTAGAAGGCCGAGCTTTTGTGCAAGAAGAGAATGGTTTACAGAATCGAATGCCTTACTGAAGTCAGTGTAAATAACATCCGTCTGCAAGTTTGGAACCTTCGGAAATTAATGTTTCCTCCACTTGAGATTTTCTAATCACCAACAACTAGCAGCGGCATATTTAGGCACGACACGACCTCTATATTCACTAAACGTCTCTACGACGTTCACGCCTCAATGAAGTTTCTCGAACATTTTAGGAATAGCGGATAACTTAGATATACCTCTATAGTTTTTAGCGTCAGACTTGAAAGATGAACAAGTGTTGCTGTTGGTGCTTGATTGTTACGCTTTTACCAACATTTAAAAACTTTAAACACGAAGATTTTCCGACTAAATAGAGCGGTTTTGAAGTTTGGTTTGAAGTTCCTGAAAAATCGCCATAATCAGTAGCCTTTTATTTATTTAAAACTTTTGATCGTTCCTACTTTTAATGCCCCCCTTTTCTTTTTGGATTTTTTTAAACACGTTTTCCCAATCGTGTTTTAGTTTATCCTCTTAGTCCCTTTGAAAATTCACTTGATTATAATTTAGTTCTCCATAAATATTTACCATAGCTTATTGTAATGAATTTCCCATCAATCACAGTCCATGTAATGATATCAATCACCAATGATCATACCTTGAATACCAAAAAGCCAACCCAATCGCCTCTATTAGGAAATGTCTTAACCAATCGCATTCAAATAGTAAGAGAGGCAAAGGCGAATTCTTTTAGCGGATTTGTTTCATTTGTGCACATTTAAAATATGATTAAAACCAATTTGAGTCAAAACCACTTAAATTAGAAAATAGTTCGATCAACAGAACCCAAGCCATGGGCAATGGGGCACGTACAGCGCTATGGGCGCTATGGGGGCCAATAAGGTGTAAATTTATGCGTCGAAAAGTGGAAGCCGGAGTGGAGTACGGCTAACAGCATTAAAGCCATTAGCCAGGCCAGGCCTGTGCAATGCCCGATGCTCGATGGACTCTGAATATGTACTTCTAAGAACTGCAAAACAAAACGCACCATTTTTTATCTATTTCAATTTTCTGAGACTTTTGTTGGCTGTTCGCTAGTGCGTTTTGTAATTATTTGTATCTGTGTGAATTTTTGTGGCCAATCAAAGTTTTTGTTCGCAGTTTTGATTTGCTGTTAGGATTGCCAGTGTTGCTGCTGCTACTGGTATCTAATTGTATCTCATGGCTAACGAGTATTCTATGAGCTGCGAGAGACTAGCTGGTCTTTTTCGTTGTGTTTTTTTGTGTGTGAGCGATCGATCTTTGATTTATATGCGAGATTTCTTGGTGTGTGCATTTGTTTAACAAGTGTTTCGGCTTAATTATGTATACTCCATGTCGCACAAGCAACGCTGACAAAGTGGACAAGGATCCCATGATCTACGATCCAAGATCTACAATCGGGGTGTGGCCAAGTCCGATATCTAATGAATATGTAATATACCTTTTGCAATGCTTTAAAGCCACAATCGGGATTTCGTTTCGTTATGCTCTTATTATGTTGTTTATGTGAAAGTTTGGCGGCACGTGTCCCCCTTCCCGATTGTCTGTTGGCATCAATTAAGAAATTGTTTCACTCGGCAGTCGGGAGTCGGGAGTTTGTTGTGCAATAATTACAATTAAATGCGAAATGGTACAGCGAAAAACTCTGGCCGCACGCACTCTGAAATTTGAATGATGAAAGAAATGTGGCAGCGGCAAAAAAATCTCTACTCATGCTGCATAAAATTAACTGCCTCATGTTATCCAATGGAATGAGGACTCTGTGAGTTGTTTTTGTTGTTGTGAACTACATCAAGTGTTTGTGTGTGTTTGTTGTCTTGGAATGCTGTTGAGTGATGCATCAGGCAATAGCGCTTATCCCGACTGCAGTGGGGAATGTCTGTGTCTGTGCATCAAGCTGAAACTTAGCAGACGTCTGACATTTGTGTTAGAATTGTTACAGAATGTCGCTACAAGAGATGGGAACTGCGAAGTTATGAAAAAGCAATGACACTGCCTTAATGAAAATATTAAAACAAGAAAAAAAATGACAGCTGCGAGGAAAGTTCTCTTTTGGGCGGAGAGCAGAGCATATAAATTGGGAGAAGAATTACATCATACAGTGAAAATATATACCAATATTTCGAATGATATATTTTACAAATTGACACCCTCATGATTTCCTTATACATATTTTGAACTAGACTTTTAACTGCATTACAGATTCTCCGCACTGTATCCAATATTTTCAGCAAAATCAATATTAAATCGATAAATATTTATGAAGATTTAATCTGTACTTGATAGGCAAATATCTCTACACTGCAATTTAATATGAAATATACATACATAGCTTGAAGCATAACCATTAACACGACAGATAACACACTTTTTCACATATTTTTCTAACACTCTATGTACAAACATACGTTACCCCCGGCCAAATGCGATTATTCATGAAAATATCTCATGTTAGTCGTCAACTCTAATCGTAAACAGCAAATAAATGTCAGGTTATATTACGAAATCAAAGAAATATCAAAGCTAAGGCAAAAGCAAAAGCAAAAAGGCAAAAGCAGAGCAACCTGCTTGGGGGATTGCCGATTTATGTGGCCGCAACACGTGAGGCCTCTCATTGATTAAATTAAATCACGGACTGAGACTGCGGCCAAGCCCTGCCCCTGTGTGCATATATCAAATTATTTATGAGCTACTATTTGGTGTGTTGTTGTCTTTCTTTGGGGGTTTTTATGTTTCCCCAACCTTTTTTTGTGACATTTTTAATGCCAAACAGAAAACAGTGAAGAAAACCAAATGCTGAGTGACAAGCGAATGAAACTTAATCAACATTGGGACAACGTCAAATTGGATTGCGTACAAGAGAGACGAGAGGCTGGGAAATGTTTAACAGGAGTAGGACGTGAAGGCGGAGTACGGAAAATGCTTAAAGAAAAGCTCCCAGCCAGCAAGACAACAAGTCGTAATGAAAACGTTATCAAGCGACAGCCAGTAACAAGTTGGAGGAGAAAAACGGGCACATAGGCAAAATTAGCTGCGTTTGCTGGCTGACCAAATGGAAGGCCAATCAGTGAGTCGATTGGACTTGGACTAGAGTGTATGCCACAATTTGGTCAAAGAAACAACATGAAAACTGGTCAACTGCGCTCACAGATGCCATCGGAGTGGAGCTCTCTCGGGTTGTTAGCAAAGTCTCCTCCTTGCGGCTCCAGATGTTGCATGCTGGATACTGCCATCTGTTGCACCATTCGATCTGTTGTTGACGGTTGCACTTGTCGCAGATTTCACATCAGTTTTTTTTTTACTTATTCTGGTTGTTGTTCGTTCGGATTGCCTACTTTTCAACGTCTTGTACTTTCGATTGGTTAATTGTTAAACAAATTTGAAATGTTCAGCGAGTTTTCCCCTCTTCCTGCTGCTCCAACGTCTCTTCCGTCTCTCTGGTTTCTATCTTTTCTTTGGGCAAATGCAAATCGCATGAGCGATCCAAGCGACTGGCAGCAGTCGTTGCACATCCCACATGCAATTTGCCAAATCCAAAGCCTGCTGCTCTAAGCCAAAAGTTTTGAGCAGTTGGTAGACCGCATTTTCGGTTTTCGGTTGCGCCTCCATATTGCAGGTGATTACCAAATAATTTGAATTATTAATCATAGAAAAAAAGTGATTGGTACATGCCGCCACTTCAGCTGCTTTAGTTGAACAGAATTTGAATGGGTTTTAAGTTTGCTTTATATGTGCGAGATGTTTTTCCATTTCTGCGGAATTTTCAACCCACATTTGAGCTGCAATTTGGAGTACACACAGAATATGGGGCACAGTAGGAAGTCGTAGGAAGTGAGCATAACTGTTCTTTGCAGCCTTAGTAAACGAGCTTGGATTAGTAAGGTGGAGGAATAAATAGGGCCAGTAAATACGGTAAGAGAAATAGAACTGAGCAAGAGAATTTGTGACCAAAATAGCTTCGAATTGAACGATTTTTCAACAGTAAACAGTAAAGAGATTTCTAAATATGGTCTGGCAGTTAGAATAGAAGAGAAAAATAAGACTAAAATCCTTTTTAACACACGTTCTAGTCTCTCCCAGTGTTGCCCAACAGTTTAAATATATTGTTATATAGACCTTTAAGAGATTTACACAGAAAACAATGTAGCAACAGAAAAAGAATAAAAACCGCCTTGAAAAACGTAGCTTATGTCCACATAATATCCATCAATGAACAATGAAAAACATACATTCAGTACTCACTCATTGATTCATTTTGTCCCATCAACATCAGTGTGGGACTTTCTCCATCCACTACGAGAGCCTCATTATCCGAGTCAATGTTATCCTCCACGCGTGTGGCGCCTGGCACATAGGTGTCCTGACTGAGGTTGATGCTGTCGGTGCCCACGCTGGACGCGGACGAGGCAATGCCCACATCAATATACTCATCCTCTGGATCCAACTTTAGTCTCTTTGCCGCCGAACTGCAGCTGGGAATGTCGTCGGGGTCAAAGTCTCTGAGTGTTACGGCCGCCGGTATGGTAGTGCCGCCCATATTAGTTTCCTAAAATATCATTAAAACAAGATAAAAACAAATAATATATTTTTGAATGCAGCAAAACAATCAAATCAATTAGCATTTTAATGCACAACGGAAGTGAGGTATCCTCTGCTGCTGCGTATCTGCCATATCTCCCGTTCTCCTCTCTCGTTTATAATTTATGCACAAACATATCTTCTAGGTGCTGCTGCTCCCCTTTGTTCAGGGTATTTTCCTTTCTTTTCTTTTCCATACGGCATAAAAATCATTCAACCCAAGAGACTTGAGTTATGGCTGGAAACCCTTTGGTCAGACGTTTTTTGAGCGGGACATAGGGAATGGGCAACAGGGGCTCCGGTCTGGTCTTTCCATGCTTGAGAAAATTGTTTCGTTTCGGAAGTAGGGTAAAGAGTTTTGCATACATTTTGCCCAGATTTTTGATCGGCTGTAGAAGAACAGTAGCAATTTTCCAACATGAACTTAAAGGCTTGTTAAAGTGTTTAAAGATTAATGGAGATGGGCACACAGCAGAATAGTTTTAAATGGAAAAAAAGAGGGAGCGCTTAAAGGGAATTAGTTGAACATTTAACACTGATTAAATGAAAGATTAAATGCTGATTCAATTGGAAATTAAAGGCTGATTAAAATGTAACAACATTAATATTGCAAGTATGATAAAGGTAAGCAACAATTTTGGATGTCATTTTCTAACAATTTAAGCTTAAAATGAAAGCAGTTCAAAGAAGTTCAATTTGGGTTAAACGTTCAAAAAAAAAACGTTAAAAATCATTAAAAATTTCGCTTGTCAATAAACCCAACAAGCCATGAAGGCCCCTCCTGCCGGACACTTAAATTATATGCCATTATATCTGTAGAAAAATCAACTTAAAACCGTTTCAATAATGACACATATATTCCACTGAAACAGAACACAAATCAGTTCCAATTGACTGAATACTCTACGCAGCAAAACGATCGAAGAAAAGCAGCAAACTCTCTCTCTATAATGGAACTTCTAATCGTAAATGAATTGACAAAAAATGCGTAAAGACTGCTGCGTGCCATTATATATCTGAAATCATATATAAGGCTGGTAGTGGTATATGAACTTGAGAGGACCGGCACTTACCTAACACACAGAGGAGCCAGGGCCATTGGCAGTAGAAGGAAAGAACCAAAAGAAGAGACTTCGACTACGACGACTACAGGCAGCAGACCATAATCAGTGTTCCATTGAACGCACAAAATCATTTAGCGAAACCAACAAAAACAACAATAGTAAGCTAAAGTAGAGTCGGAGAGACAGAGTCGAAGAGCTAGAGCCCCGAGTTGGACATGGAGTTGAAGTTGTAGCTGCACCCCAAAAAGCACTTGAAACTGTGTTTTAAAAAGAGAGTCTCTCCATCTCCGACTGCGAGTCCAAGTAGGGTAAGAGCAAAGTGTTTTGAGAGAACGAACACTTGGATGAATGAATATATCTCTCGTGTATGTATATGCTACTCTTCGGTGGCAAACTCTTCGCTGTAGGCAGGCTGCAAGTTCAAAGCACGCTGCTCTGCTCTTTTCGGGCTCTGCACTGTTCTGCTCTGCTGTGATGTTACCATCAGACCAAGACCATAGCCAAGACGATGAGTTTGGAGTTTTGTAGCAAATTGAATTGTCTTTGTGTTGCATGAATCACGTGACCATGACCATCACACAGCAGAGCACACTGCATAGATATCCAAGAACAGAAACCAAAAGCTGTCCCCTCTCTCTCCGTATATGGCTGTGGCAGTGGCAATTTGAACCTCACTCAAAAGATCATTTACTTTCATTAGGAATGGAACGAAACGAAAGACTGAAGACTGAACAGGCGAAACTTGCCGTGCCAGAAGCAGCAGCAAGTGCAAACTTGGTCTAATAAACAGCCATTAGGGGCAGTATCCATGGATCATGCATGAAACTCTGAAGTATCCCAGCAGCAAATAAGATCCGAATCCTCACCTTATTGGGATGTCGCCGATTGCGTTCGACATGGCCTGCCCCAGGAATGGGTGAGGATGTGCCTGTGGCTGGTGGCTCCTGTAGTTTAGCCTCTTGATTATCTTTAACCAAAAAGAAAAAGAAAAGAAAGTTCTATAAATACTTGCATGTTCTTTTCGGTCTATAATACTTACATTTCAATTCAATTTCCTCATCATCTAATAGCAATGAAACCACTTCCTTGGGCTTGAGTGTATCTGGCTTGAAATTGCCGCCACTTATGACCATTCGTTGGATCTGAAAATGCACAGAAAATATTATTCAAGGCAGGAAACGAAGGGATAGCGCCAAAGTACTTTTAAATGGTAATCAAGAAGGGGATTTTACTGAAACCAATAAATGCACACAAGAAAGGGTCTCAGAGGGGGGCGAATACTTTATAGAGAACGCCGCAGGCGTAACCTAAATGTCGCCTAACCAATTGTATAATTAATTTCCGGTGTTGGTTTACCAGTGCACCACTCCACCTCTTCCCTACCCGTACAAGTGCTCGTGTTTCGTAGTCGAGGCGCAACAATGGCCCAGCGCGATCCTCAAACACAAAGCACGTGCCTAATATGCGGCAAATAAACAAAAGGGAAAACCACAAAAAGCAAAAAAAGAAGAAGCTCTTTCTTGCGGTTTTTGGTAATGTTTCCTGCCTCACCTCACTCTTCTCTCGGGCTCGCTGCAGAATCCGCTCCTCGATGGTGCCCTTGCAGATCAGTCGGTAGACAGTCACCTGTTTGGTTTGGCCCAAACGATGCGCCCGATCCATGGCCTGTTGATCGACAGTGGGATTCCAGTCCGAATCGTAAAAGATTACCTGGAAATGGAAGGGAGAAAAATGTATTAGAATGAAGTTTGCTTTGGGGTTACTTTGAGGGTTAGCAGGCAGTTTCCCTTAGCTCTGGAATACGGTTTTCTGAAGAGAGTTCTCTACACCAAATTAGGTATGCAAATGCTTCCCTCACACGCACATCCTTTTCGCTGCTGCTTTGATCAATCAATAGTATCCATTGCCTGCATATTGGAATGGTTTCCAAATGCTCCATCCACCACTTTGTCGTGTCACGAATGTCTAGGTTTTTCCTTTTCTCTCTTCCGTCTTTTATCTGGAGTAGGAAAAACCATTCTCAACCCTTCAATCGAGCGCTACTGCCCTTGGTACGTGTTCGGGCCGTGCAAGTGTTCCAGCGGAGGTTCCGAGTTCAGGGGAGTGGCATTTCCGGCCCAAAAAGATGAGACTAATTAAAAAACAAACTCCTTAGGGTCTGAGCTGTGTGTTTTTCTTGTTATTTGGAACACGTGTGGAGAAAAACGGAGGCCCAAAGGAAGTACGGAAGTTCTTTATTGAAAAGAAATCTATTCTTTATTCGGTTATCTGTCTATTGAATGTGAATTTTCATTTAGGAGTTTGCAAAGGAAGTCTCTCATCAGAAGAATTTTGGAAAGGGTTTGCAATTATTTGCATAAATTTGCCAAAAGAGTGCAGAAAATGTGTGACAATGGGTTGAGATTTGTTAGATTCTACGGCGGAAAACCTCTCAAAGAAGAGCATAACTCAAAATAATTATTTGTTGTTTTTCTTCACCCCAAATAATTTATTGGAATCGAATTCCGCAAAGATTTATGAGTAAATAAAGATTTAGAGACATAAAATAGGCCTTTTCGCACATATTAGCAGCATTATCTGCGGGTAAGCATTTATTAGATAATCAACTAATTTAATAGCCTTAACCACTACAAACCACGACGATAACCCTTATCGTATAAAGCCAAAAGCCATTACCTTTTAAGTGTGCCACAGAACACACACAAATCGAGTGGAATGAAAACCACAAAATCATTGGATTGTTAATCGAACCAACACTCGTTTCGAGGAACCCCGCGATAAGGCAGCGGGCACCTAAGTACAATCTACTTGCGAGTTATTTAACCCATTTGACAATGGCATTATTTACGGGGCTTAAAGAATACCTAATTATGTGCCCTGCCAAACGATAAGATTTAAGTTTTAGCTAAAGCACCTTCTAGGTGTGGCATTTAATGGTGCGACAGTTGCATTTCAACACTCGACGATGAAGCTCTGGCTGGCCATCCCTTTGGTGGCTCTGGCGCTTGTCCAGGCCCAAGGCAGTATCTTTGAGAGCACCTTCAAGCGGCTACATGGCGAACCGCCGCTGCCCAGCAATCAGAATCGTGCGGATGTGGTGCAAACTTTGTGGATTGAACAGCAATTGGATCATTTTGATGATGCAGAGCAACGCACCTGGCAAATGGTATGCAGGAGTGATTAAGTCTTATATAATTCCACTTATTTTGGTTGTTTTCCCCAGCGCTATATGCTAAACGATGCGCTTTATCAATCGGGTGGTCCTTTGTTCATTTATTTGGGCGGTGAATGGGAGATCTCGGCGGGTCGCATCACTGGCGGACACATTTACGACATGGCCAAGGAGCACAATGGGCTGTTGGCCTACACAGAGCATCGCTATTATGGCCAGAGCAAACCCTTGGAGTGAGCGCAGGTCTTAGATTCCAGAATTACTCAAATTCCTAACCATTTTTCTGCCTCTTTCAGAGATCTTTCCAATGAGAACATTCAATATTTGAATGTCAGACAAGCGCTCGAGGATTTGGCTGTCTTTATCCGCACTCTCAAAGCCACCCACGAGGGTCTGTCCGAGTCCAAGGTCATCATTGTGGGTGGCTCGTACTCCGCCACAATGGTCACATGGTTCAAGAAGGTTCATCCCGATCTTGTGGCCGGTGGCTGGGCCTCCAGTGCCCCACTCTTTGCCAAGGTTAACTTTGTAGAATACAAAGAGATTACGGGGCAGTCAATTGCCCTGATGGGTGGCTCCGCATGCTATAATCGCATTGAGAGTGGCATTGCCGAAATGGAGACAATGTTTGCCACCAAACGTGGAGCAGAGGTGAAGGCTCTGTTGAAACTTTGCGAGCGATTTGATGTCTACAGCGATTTGGATGTTTGGACATTGTTTAGCGAGATTTCCGATATATTTGCAGGCGTTGTGCAGACTCACAAGTGGGTTGCAGGAGTGTTCTGATTTTGTGCATATTTATTTAATATTTTACTGCCTTTCAGTGCTGGTCAGATTGAGGGAGTTTGCGCCAAGATTATGTCCGGTTCGAATGATTTAATTGGTGTTGCCAGCTATTTGTTGGATGTCTTCTCGGAAAGTGGCGGCAAGTGCAATGATCTAAGCTACGATGCCATTCTGTCGGTGCTTCTAGACACTAGCTACACGGGGAATATCAGTGAGTATCAGCAGTTCCTTACTACAAACCAATCACCAATCCATTAGCTCTTTCGTCCCTTAGTGCGCCAGTGGATCTTTCAGACCTGCAATGAGTACGGCTGGTATCAGACCTCTGGCTCCAGGGTTCAGCCTTTTGGCACTAAATTTCCCGTGGCTTTGTACACCACCATGTGTGGGGATATCTATGGTTCGCAGTACAGCAACGAGTACATCGACAGCCAAGTGGCAGCCACAAATGAATACTTTGGTGGCTTCACACCCGGCGTGGAGAATGTCTACCTGACGCATGGACATTTGGACCCGTGGCGTGCAATGGGCATACAAGATGAAGCTCAGGCGACAGTTATACCAGCCAAGGGAATCAATCAATTGAATTTGGCTTAAAGGGTAACTTTAATTCGATTCCCTTTAATTACAGAGTATGCCCACTGCAAGGACTTCAATTCCATAAGTGACAGCGATACAGCAGAGATGAGAGCTTCCAAAGAACGCATTGCCGAATTGGTTAGAGAATGGATTAAATAGAGGAGCAAAAGTATACAAATGTAACAAACATAATTATTTTAAGTTGAATAAAGATTGAGACCCGAGCAGTGGTAATTCCCACTCTTTGCCTCATTGATAACGATTTCTATATGGCAATACTCAACTTTTACACTCAAAATCTCAGCCACATGCCGTTGTGTCCACTAGGTTGCTAATGCCACTAAAGATACACCTGAAGTCGGATCGATTTACAATGGTCCACAATTATTGTAGTAGGTAGGTAGTTGTTACCCTCCTCTAATCGTAGACTTGTCCGTGTTCATGGCTCATACGCTCACTTATCAGTTGGCTAATATTTACGATCCCTAACCTTATGGGCCTTATCTTTATGGTTATTCCACCTTAAAAACGGAATGTCCATCAAATTTCTAACTCATTTCTGGAAAATGGCTGCAACTCGTTTGGTTGTGGCGCTGCTGCTGCTGTTAGTTGCTGTCTGTCAAGGACTCGAGGCATCCAAGGATGTGCCAGTGCTGGTTAAGACGCTGCAGAATTTGCACCGTGGCCCACCCAAACAGACCGTGCTGAAGCGCGTGAATGTGCAGGAGAAATGGATTACACAGAAATTGGATAACTTTGATGCAGCCAATACAGAGACCTACGAAATGGTAGGCTCACAACTCCATTGAGGATACATTTTCATGCAGTTTTGGCTTTAATTAACAGCGCTACCTGCTCAACGATGAGTTCCAAGCGGAGGGCAGCCCCATCTTCATTTATTTGGGTGGCGAATGGGAGATCGAGTCGAGCATGATCAGCGCTGGACATTGGTACGATCTGGCTGAGGAGCACAAGGGTGTGCTGGTCTACACCGAACATCGTTACTACGGCGAGAGTGTGCCCACAACGTAAGACATATTTTCAATGAGTTTATCCTGTCATTCTCCTAAGTTTTGTTTGACTCCTTGCAGCACCATGTCTACGGAGAACCTCAAGTATTTGCATGTCAAGCAGGCACTCGCCGATGTGGCTGAATTTATCAAGTCCTTCAAGGCGGAACATCCACAGTTGGCAAACTCCAAAGTGCTGCTGGCTGGTGGCTCCTACTCCGCCACCATGGTGGTGTGGTTCAAGCGTCTGTATCCCGATCTCGTGGATGGTGGCTGGGCTTCGAGTGCCCCTCTATTGGCCAAGGTGGCCTTCACCGAATACAAGGAGGTGGTGGGCCAGGCCTTTCTGCAGTTGGGCAGCCAAAAGTGCTACGATCGCATTCAGAATGGCATTGCCGAGCTGGAGTCCATGTTCGCCAACAAACGTGGCGCTGAGGCACGTTCCATGCTGCGATTGTGCAATAGTTTCGATGACAAGAACGATCTGGATATGTGGTCACTGTTTGGCAGCATTTCCAATATTTTTTCAGGCACAGCACAGTATCAAAAGTGGGTCCTTACATAATCCTTTGCTCTCTTATTGATTTTGTTCTCTCCCTTTCGTAGAGCTGGCGACATTGAGTACTATTGCAATTATTTGTTAAGCTTCAACGATGATGCCACGGCTATTGCCAATTTTGCCTACTGGGGCTGGGGCATGCCCTCCTGCGTCGATGCGAGATACTCCAGCACCGTCGAGTACTACCTCTGGGCAGTGAATTACTTTGATGCTGGTCGTCCTTGGTATTATCAGACCTGCAACGAGTACGGCTGGTACCAGACCTCGGGCTCTAGGAACCAGCCTTTCGGCACCAAATTCCCCACCGCCCTGTACACCACTCTCTGTGCGGATGTCTTCAGTTCGCAGTTCAGCAACGAGCAAATCAACAGCAATGCTGCACAGACCAACGTGGATTTTGGCGGCATGTCGCCGGATGTGGAGAATGTCTACATGACACATGGCGCCTTGGATCCCTGGAGTCCCATGGGTCATGGCGTGGCCGAGGGTGCCACACTCATTGCCGAGGCCTCACACTGTGCGGACTTTGGCTCGATCTCGGCCAACGACTCCGCAGAGATGAGGGCCTCTAAGGAGCGTCTGGCGGAGCTCGTGCGCGAGTGGTTGGCCTAGAAAATCAAGTCTTTGCATTGCATTCAATAAAGTATAAAGAAGGCATAGAAGGCACCAAAAGATTTTCTCATTAAACGATTAAATCATTGTCGAATTTTTTCCTTCTATACTGACTTACTTTCTTGCAAACAAAGGAGCTTTAGATTTGTAACAATAACGCCCAAAAATATGCCGCAAAAAGGGTTCTGCAATTTTGTGAATTATCGGAAATCATTTCGAGAAAACTTTCCGCAATTTTCTGCTCAGAAAGTGCACACTGAAGAGGTGTTTTTATGAAGATTATTAGGAGCTTTGATTGCACTGCAACCAAAATACACTTTAAAAACTCATCGCAGCATTTAGCACTTTGCTCGACATAAAGCTACCACAAAACCCAGCTTCACCTACAGACATTTAATATGCCCCTGTTCTATGAGAGTTCCAGGTATAAATATAGAGAGGATAAGATAATTGGGCGATACTTGTTCAGGCACTTGCAGCCCATGATGAAAGTTAATTAAATCCTACAGCAAATATTGCATTGAGTTGGTTGGTCAACAGTTTACTGATTGAGGTTCAAATAGACAATGGCAGTATGAGTATGCTCAACAAAGTTAAGAATTCGAAATAAATGTACTTAACAGTAGTATGCAACTGCAGGGGGTCGACAAAACCTACGAATTAATTATTTTAATTAATTAATTTAAAGTAGCAGTTAGTACGTGTAAGAACCACAACCTATGTGTCTCGATTGACTCCCTAATGACCTTAAAGCCAACACTTAGACCAACACTTGGTCTTATCAATTGTAGTTCCATATGCGAGTATTTGCCAATATTTGTTTGCTTTCCCATCAAGTCTGTACTTCCCTATCAAGTCTTCTGAGCGGAACATTATCTTAAGTAATTTAGACTCTTAGATTTGGCATAAAAAGGCCGCCTTTCGGCCTTTCAAATCATTCGCTAACTGGTAAACTGTCCAACAAGATGAAGTACACCCTAATGGTCCTGGCTCTGCTGGCACCGCTGACTGCTGCCGCCAGTTTGGGGGCTACAGAAGCAGAACCAGAGCCCAATGCCTTTGTGCAGTCTGTGAGGGAACTGCACAGGGGTCCGCCTGTGCAGCAAACGCGGAATATAGCTAATGTAGAGACGCGTTGGTTCACCCTAAAGTTGGACAACTTTAATGCCGCGAATAACGCCACCTGGAAGGACGTAGGAAGCAGCAAAGAGTACACCCTTAGAGCAAGCTAACAATCTTTTATCCTTTCCCCAGCGCGTGCTGATCAACGAGGACCACTTTACGGCTGGTTCCCCCATCTTCATTTACTTGGGCGGCGAATGGGAGATTGAGCCGAGTTCCATTACCTCGGGACTGTGGGTGGACATTGCCAAGGAGCACAATGGCTCACTGATCTACACGGAGCATCGTTTCTTTGGCAAGAGTTTTCCCATAACGTGAGTGGATCTGTGAGACATTTCAAGGCAACTTTAAATCGTTCTCTTTGCGCAGTCCGCTGTCCACCAAAAATCTGAAATATCAGAGCGTCCAGCAAGCCCTGGCCGATGTGGTGAATATCATAAAGATCCTGAAGCAGGAGGACAAGTACAAGGACTCCAAGGTGCTCGTCTCCGGCTGCTCCTACTCGGCCAGTATGGCCACATGGATCAGGAAGCTCTATCCCGATGTGATCCTGGGCAGCTGGGCCTCGTCTGCCCCACTGCTGGCCAAGGTGGACTTCGCGGCCTACATGGAGGTGGTGGGGCAGTCCTTTAAGCAGCTTGGTGGCCAGTACTGCTACGATCTTATCAACAATGCGACTTCCTACTATCAGAAACTCTTTGAGAGTGGACGGGGCGCCAAGGCCAAGAAGGAACTTAATCTGTGTGCAAGTTTCAATGCGAAAAGCGAACATGATCGCTGGCAGATCTTCAGCACCATTGCCAATGTGTTTGCCGGACTGGCGCAGTATCAAAAGTTGGTTTCAGTTAGTCTTTAAAGGCTGAGGAGATATTTTATAGAGAGTTTTGTCCACCCTTTAGGCCTGGAAACTATGATCTGCCCAGGTATTGCTCCGTGCTGCGTTCCTTCAGTGATGATGATGCCGAGGCCCTCTCGCTATTTGTGCAATGGCAATTGGGCTATCCGAAATGCGTGAGTGTCAGCTATCAGGGCACGATCAATTACTACAAATGGGCAAAGAATAACTATGAAGATGACAGTGAGTGAACTTCTAAAGGGAAACCCTCGTAACCATTCCCTTTCTCATTTACCCTTCTGCTCTTTCCCAGCTGGCCTTCCCTGGATCTATCAGACTTGCAGCGAATTTGGTTGGTACCAGTCCTCGGGCAGTCCTAACCAGCCCTTTGGTTCCTCCTTCCCAGCCACACTCTACACCGACACCTGCCACGATGCCTTCAGCCCGAACTACACCTTGAACCACATCGAGGCCAACACTGCAGCCACCAACGCGGAGTTCAGGGGCATCGATATTGATGTGAACAATGTATACTGGACCCAGGGCGGTCTGGATCCATGGAGCAAGGTTGGCGCAGGAGAAGCCCAAGGGGCCACCATCATACCCCAAGCCTCGCACTGCTCCGATTTGGGTTCTATAAGCCTCAATGATAGCCCCGTGCTGATGGCCTCCAAGCTGAAGTTGAAACAACTCGTTAAGGATTGGTTGGCGCAGTAAATCGATGGGAAATTATGGCTAAATCTTCAATTTTCTATAACAAATATTTAATCCCCAATATTGGTCTCAATAAAGCGAACATTTAAGCTTTACTTTACCTTATCTCATTATTCAATGAGTAAATCTACTGCTAAGCCACACTAGGAGAGAGAGAGAGAGAAGTAAAGAGAAAGCTACGCTCAAAGCTTCAGTCTGTCGCCTATCCAATGAGTTTTTATCCAAAGTTATATTGGATTTATATAGCATTCAATAAAATCAGTCTCCTGCTTGTCCTCTCTTTAGACTATTTGCAAATATGACGCAATTAAAATAACGAATTTATGTGCCCCACAAATCCATCAAAAATCCAGCAAAAGGTGTGACCACTCGGACAAACAGTCCGCTCACGGACATAGGAACCCAAAGCCGAAAAGAGCAATGGAAGATCAACCCATGAATTGCACTAAATTCCGAAACGTGAGGGGAATATTTAGAGTCGCTGGACATGCGAACCCAAGACAAAGTCATAAATCTTTGTGAACCCAAACCAGCGAATCAAGTCACGCATTATAATGATTCGATTGCAGATCAGAAAACAGACCACAAAATCTATCCATTGCGTACTTGCTTATAAATAGGGTTTAAATGGCATTTACTCTGATATCATTTTGAAAGTTTTCTCTGTACCAAGAGACGACTCTGCTCTAATTTGTGTCTGGGTCTGGTCTGGTCTGGTCTGGTTTGTTCTGTTCTGTTCAGTTCGGCCGCTGTAGAAATGCCAAAGTGTTGAGTTTGTGGTCAAATTATTTTGGTATGCGACAAAGACATGAACGGGAAATACTTTTAAAAATACGTTTCACGTTTGGCAGGCAGCAAAGGGAAGAGCTGCTTAAGGGGGGCTCGGTTCTTTAAGAAATTATATCGCAAAAGAAATAAACATTTTTGCCATACTTCCAAAGGGGTTTCGGTATGGTTTGGTTTTGGTTTTGAGAAAATGTTTACCGCTGGACGGACGGCAGGAAAAGATTAATTGTTGTATCGGATCAGGACATATATCTTTTGTTTTGTTTTTCGATTAGGGAATTTGAATGGAGAAAGTTGTTTGCCGCTTGTTCCCAAAGCAGAAGCTTCCCTTTTGTGATCCGTCAGAAATACCAACAACGAATTAGCCAGAAGAAAGAAGCAGCATCGCATTGAAGCCTGAGAACCTGGCAATAAAACGACAATGGAAAAAAGCCTGAAAGCAAATTACTCACGGGACGAGGAAGGCAGGAAGGCAGGCAGGCAGGCATCGCGCGCCTGTAGCAAATAACAAATCAAAATCAGTGACAAAATGATTTAGGAACCAGGCGAAAATGTTCACACGAAGCTGAGAGAGAGAGAGAGAGAGACACACAGCGTCAGAGAGTCGAGTAGATGGAGGAGGAGTCCAAAAAGAAATCAAAGAACCGCACAAATCGAACAAGAAGTGGCTGGCTGTTGACTGTGTCTGCCTCCCTTCACAAAACATGCAAAGATTCTGTTCGATATCGGTATCCTTTTTGGCTGAGAATTTGGCTGGGGGGATTTTGGCTGGCTTCGTGGGCACTACTCATTGTTACGCGATGATAAAGATCATCTGAGTAAATCATGGGGCAACTCCCTCCCGCCTCACTGCCTTAAATGCTGTGTGCAATGCATGAACAAGTAGTTCGAGCAAATGGCAGTACACAGTGACAGTACACAGGATTCCTCCACCATCCCCGTCTCAGATTTTTCTACAATTATTCTGCAGACCACAGTGACATTCAATGCACATAAGACAATGACAATGAGGAGTTTGAGCAGTAGAAGAGCCCTCAAGGAGACTCCTTTACTAATTGGAAATATTTGCCATTTGTTGTACATTCATTTTGGAAAATTATTAGTTGTTTTGAGAAGCATTTACACCTGTGCTTTACAGCTATGAATCGCACTGTGGCTGACATTGATTAATATTTATTGTTCAATTGAACTCACAAAGTTCTAAGTATTGAATTGAAGTAAGGAATAATCCACTTTGACAATAATCAATTAGCGGAGATCTCAGGTTGTGAAATTCGTATCTATTTCTGAAGTGTTGCTATATATATTCCCTATTAGAATTGGTACACTCAGTAGGTTACACAATCCACAATGAAGGGTGCAACCCAGTGTAGAAGATTCCTGTTGCTGAAGTTTAAAGAGCAGAAGGAGAAGCAGGAGACAAGATATTTCTCTTCGACACAGAATCTCTTGCTGATCTAAGGAGAAGAAAGAGCAGAAGATGTGCTTCCTCACGCTAGAGCCTCGTGATCTTTGGAGAAGCTGAAGAAATCATGGTAGGGGTTTGAAAATATCCCTAAAGATATCTCCTTAAATAATATACATATGTAGAAGGGACTCTCTTGCCTACTCTTTCTGCTTAAACTGCTCAAAATTTTAATGCATCAAAAAGAGAAGCTCAGACACCGACCAAGATCACTGCTCCACACACACATTGTCGTACACTTTGAATATGTCCCCATCCCGTTGGAACTCCTTCAGGAATTCTGCATAGCGTTTGTGGTGGCGCGGGGAGAGGCTGACCAGCGGCCGATCTCCGTGTGCTGAATATTATAGCCGCATTGCTTGAGTTTCGCTAACACTTCGGCGACATCCGGGGGCGGACACTTAAAGGGCACGGAGCCATTCTCATAATCGGTGATGTCCCCGGCCGAGGCCTGGCACCAAAGGGCAGCCGCCTGGACGGTTTGGTTGAAGTCCGAGAAGTCCGAACCTTAATGAGGCCCTTTTCGGTGAACAGATTCCAATGGTAGAAGCGCGTCAACATGGGCGCCAGTGGCTGCTTCAGCTTGGCGAGACTTTGTTTTAGTGCCTTGCAGACGAGTGCCACCTCCCCAACATTTTAGTCCATGGGCACGACGAAGTTGGTCTGATTCCAGTATCCGCTGGATGCGGCTGTAGCGGCGACAACTTCGCCCTCAGGGTGTAGTTCGTGAGCCAGTTGCACCTTCTTTGGGGTATTCGGATCAAATTGCATTTCTTTGGTGCTCGATGGTGTAATGAAGCAGCACTTTTGGCTCAACTTACTGTTGCTACGGCCTCTGTTGCCCTGCAGCGAATCGTATGGGAGCTTCCAGCGAACGCCCTTGGTTACCGCTGCACCCATGGAGTCCTCGAATGGGTCCCCATCGAGGCCATTCCGCTTGTCCGTCTCCTGCTTGGGCGAAGAGCTGCGCACCAGACAGGGCCGGGACATGTGCGGCCTCATGCTGGCATTCAAATGCGGCAGTGATGCCTTTGGTTTGCTGCTAGCCATTTGTCTCACTTGTAATTTTGGTATCAGACACGATTGAAGGTCAAATGAATGATTGAAGGGAGGAATGTGTGTCCCAGGGCACACTTTGGTATCTAATACGTAAAGTCTAATCACTCACCGTGTCTGCTGCTGTTAGATTAATGCCCAAACCTCCTGCGCGCGTCGAGAGCAAAAATACGAAAATGTCCGCACGCGTCTGAAAGTCGGCGACCATGTCGCGACGCGCTGAGATCTTGCTGGAGCCATCCAAGCGCATATAACGATGCTTGCGATGCCACATGTACTCCTGAGAACAAAAAGACACAGCCATCGAAGAGTTTTCTCTTGTTAGAATCAATCAAAACGCACCTCTAGCAGGTCTATCATTTTCGTCATCTGTGAATAGATCAGCACGCGATGGCCCTCCGCCTTCAGCCGTGTGAGCAGTGTGTCCAGTACAAACAGCTTGCCCGCATCAGTGATCAACGTCTCCTTGTCGGGCACCACAATGGAGGACCAACCACAGCGTGGCTTGCACAGTGCCAGGCTGGAGGACACAAGCTCTCTGCCCACAGCATTTTCGCACTGCACATGACGAATTTGTGTCCAGGCCGCAGCACGACTCTCGCAGCTAAGGGAAACCAGTAATTATTCATCGATTAAAGCCGTTACAGGGCTGCCAATCACTCACTATAAATGCCTATCCACCGCCTGTACACGCTGACCCAACGCATAGAGCAGTCGCGGCATGGACAGCGGCTCGCAATGGTAGCTCCTCGGCTGCCTCAAACGATGCGGAAACTCTGGCAACAACAGCAACGTTTGCACCTTGACATCGCTCTTGGTATTCGATTTGGTTTGCACCTCCACGGACTCGATTTCGAGCTCCTGCTTAACCTGCTCTTCGTCTTCCACATCCACCAGCTCCTCAATCAGCGTGGCTGTCTTTTGTTTGAGCACTTTGGAGCGTATCACACGATGCTCGATGGTCTCCTGCATGTTGTAGGTGCAATAATCCCCGAAGGCATAAACGCTGCTCTCATTGGTGGTCTGCAGAGATGGGGATAGAAGGGATACAGATTTCGATCTATAAATAAAGGATGAGACACCTACCATTGCTGTGAACAGAAAATTCTTAAGTACACTGTCTGAGAGCATGAATTGTGGCAGCAGTTTGCTCTCCAGCATGGGCTCCAGCAGCTGATAAAAGGTGGCTTTTAGATGTGGCCACCATTGGCGGCGGTAGGACAGTAGGGGATATTTTTCCAGCACGCGACGATAATGCAAAAGGCTGTCAGGGAAGAGGAGTAAATGTTAGCAGAGGTGTCCTATGAATTGGCCAGTAGTTTGACTTACAAATCAATCAATCCATTAAGCGTGACATCGAGTACATCCCCCAATGATAGATCACAGAAACGCGTAAAGCTAAAGCAGCTCCCAACGCTCACATCGTCGAAAAGCGATCGCTGTATATACTCCGACTTGAAGATGTTGAAACTAACAAAGAGAAACCAAATCATAAATAATTATAAAAGCCATTCTCAGACCTCTACCCACCGATTGTACAGTAAATGCCTGCGGCTGGGCAGTGCTCGGAGTAGAAGTGCCTCCTCGTGGACAAGCCTCGGCAGCACATACTCCGCACAGCGCATAAAGAACGGACTCCTCGCATCACGACGCTCAAACAGCTCCGGATGATTGCACACCTTGCGGAACTGCATGACCAGATTCATAAGGTTCGAGGACGCCGACGAGGGAGCACTCGAGCCGCTCGTCAAGTGCAGCAGGTCCTCGATGCGTATCTTCTGCTTGAGGGCGCGGTAGAGCAACTTCTGGCGTATGGTCAGGGGGCAGTAGACCATAATCTCAATCTTGTCAGACAGCTCGTTCTCCACATCCTTCTTGATGCGACGCAGCATGAAGGGCTTAAGGATCATGTGGAGGCGCGAAATTTGCAGCTCATCAATGCCTGTTTTGTTTTCGGCATGCGATTCAATGTCCTTGGAGAACCACTCGTTGAACTCGTCGTGCGAGTCGAACAGCGTGGGCATTATGAAGTGCAGCAACGCCCACAGCTCGGCCATGCTGTTCTGGATGGGAGTGCCGCTGAGCAGCAGCCGATTGCGGCAACTGAAGCCCAACAGCAGCTTCCAGCGCTGCGAGGCGGCGCTCTTGATCGCCTGCGCCTCGTCCAGCACCATGTACTGCCACTTGATGCGATTGAAGTACTTGTAGTCGCTGACTACCAGCTGGTACGACGTGATCACCACATGGAAGCTGGCGTCGCGTGTGTGCAGCTGCTTCTGGTCCCAAAACTGCCGCAGGATCTTGCGCTCACTCGGCGAACCCCAGTAGGGGACGACATTAAAGTCCGGCACAAAACGCGACATCTCCTGCTGCCAGTTGTGCAGCGTGGAGGCAGGGGAGATGATCAGGAACGGGCCCCACACCCCATAATGCTCGGCAATGTGACAGAGGAAGGCGATGGACTGCACGGTTTTGCCCAGGCCCATCTCGTCGGCTAGAATGCCGCTGATGCCTTGATCGTAGATGTTTGCCAGCCACGTCATGCCCTTGATCTGGTAGCCCTTGAGCGTGCCCTTGAACATTTGCGGCTGCGGCAGATCCTTCATCTCCGCGCGCGTCTCTGGTGCGTCCAGGTCCGTATCCTCCTCCTCTTCCTTCTTGGCAAAAACATCAAAGGCCTCCATGGCTTGCTCCTCCTCCGCATCGTCTTTGCACTCTTCCTGCTTCTTGGGGAGCACGTCGAAGGCGCGCGTCTTGTCCAAATCCCGCTGCATGGCCGCCTCGGCATGCTCCTTGGCCAGCTGCTTCATTTCCAAGGGATCGTAGTCGTCTGGAACGGCCAGTCGGGCATTTGTCTCCTCATCAAGCTGGCTCAGAATCCTCAGTTGATCCTCCTCCGTGCCCTGACCCAGCTTCTTGGACATAAAGTGTGCATACAGCTCCGTTTGGGTGATCAGAAAGTTGAGTTTCCGCTGCTGTCGCTTCACCTCAATGAGCTCCACGTCCTGCTTGCGCTGCTCCTCCGCCTCGCGCTCCTGCTTGCGCTTCTGGTCACGCTCCACGCGCTCATACCGCTTCCAGTAGGCGAGCATTTCTCGCGTCAGCCGCTTGGCCCGCCACACCGTCTCCTTCATGACGCGCTGCGAATTGATGGCCCGCTGGCGCACCACCTTGGAGCACATGGACGCCACACGCTTGCAGTTGGCCAGCATCTCCTTGTGGTTGTTGCTTGTAATCCTCTGTAGTCGGCCGCACTCCTTCTTCGACATAATCTGCCAGATGCGACGACGTCGCGCCGCCAACGCTGCCGGATTCTTGCGCTTCCTTCGCACCTTGGTCACCTGCCCATCGGCACCGCCCACCACATCCACCTCCTCCTCGATTTCCTCCTCCTCGGGAAAGTCCAGTGCAAGGCTGGCCAGCTCCCGCTTGTAGTCCACCTCGCCGTTGTCATCCTCCTCCTCGTCATTGGTGGGCAGCGTGTCCCCGTAGGTGTATCTGCCCAGTTCCGAGGGCGGCACTTCTCCGGACTCTGGCGAATCCATAATTGTCGTTTGCTTCTTACGTCCGCGCCGCTTCTGTTGTTTCGGCAGCGTTGGTGCCTGCGCCTCGGCCAGGCGGGCCATGAGTATCTCCTGCTTGGTGCGACGCCGACGCTTGCGCACACCCGCTGTGGCCTGCTGTCGCTCCGCATAGATGTCATGATTGGAGAGCAAACTGGCACCGTAGTAGGCGTATTGCGCGTTCTAGGGGGGGGAGAGAGACAGTGAGGATTAGCAGGAGGTACGGGCGGCTGCGCTCTACGGACCGTTGGCTTTTTGTAGTAATTCTTGCGCTGCCGCTGCTCGCGTATGTGCTCGCGTAGGATCTGATGGATGTACTCGTCCTCGTTGCCAATCGGCTCATCGGAAAGGCTCAGCGAATCGTCGTCTAGCATGTCGGTAAGGGCCAGCGACCAGTTCAGTAATTTCAACATGTCGACGCGGAACTGTGAGACAGCGAGACCCCTTTACGCTCTGTGTTTTTACTTAATACTTTTGAGGAAAAAAGGGGAGAAAATGAGTGGGAGGAACGACGTCTTGTCTGCGAAGAACGTCGCGACGCTGCCCTTCTTGCACTTGATTACACCCACCGTGGAGGAGTCATCGGACTCCGTGTCTGCCTCGCCCTTTAGCTCTGGCAGCCCCTCGTTGTCCGTGTCGCTCTCCTCGTTGCTGCTGCTCAGCGGCTGCTTCAGCACCCGCTTGGCCATCTCCATGAAGGGCCGCATATTTAGCGCCAATTCCAGGCGCTGTATGTGCGCCGGTTCGGCCATGATGCGTGGCTTTATGTCGCGGCTGCTGGCCATCGCAAAGGCGGTGCTACTTTAATTCAGCTTTTATGCTCAATTATCACGTAATTTGCACAAAAAGTCGTCTCCATGCGTGCGTCTCGAGCGTAAACAATGTGTTGGTGTGACCGGCATAGCAAAAATACCATTAGCGATGTGTCACAAATATCGATTTCAGTAACTATCGAGTTAATTTTTGATATTTCGACAGTTTGACAGCCGTATTTTTGATGCAGCACTGCGTAGACATTCACAACGAACATGTAAACAATGAATGGCAAAAAACAGTTGGTGTTGTGATACGAAAATGTGGCGTTTAACTTTAATAAAAGAAATTTCGGATAAGGGAAATTGGATTATTTCCTCGGATGTGGCCATAGTTATAGCCAACAAGTATCCAAAGGCGCAGCAGCACTTTTTGGTCCTGCCCAAGGCGGATATTTCGAGTATTTTTGAGGTGAGTCACAGGCGCAGACCTGTGCAGAGGGGAAATTCTTAATTTTGGTTTTGATTTTTTTTAATCTTTGCAGCTTACCCGCGAGCATTTGCCGCTGCTGGAGCAGCTGCATCTGCTGGCGAGCAACATTGTCGAGGTGCGTGGACTGCAGTGGAAGGATTTTAAGGTGGGTTTCCATGCCGAACCGGTCCTGGAACGGCTGCATTTGCATGTAATATCCCAGGACTTTGTGTCGTCCTGCCTAAAGAAGAAAAAGCACTGGAACACCTACAACACAGAACTGTTTGTGCCGTACGAGGGTAAGATAGCCCCCAACTGGACACCGAAATACACATTTAGAGAAAATATCTCTGCTTTCAGTGCTGCGGGACAAGCTAAAAGCGGAAAACAGTTACCAACGCCTGTCGCCGGATGTGATTCATGCACTGCTGGCCACGCCTTTATGCTGCAATCAATGCGATTTTAAGCCCGGAAATCTGTCATTGCTCAAAGAACATTTGGAGCAGCATCTGCAGAGACAGATAGCAGAAGAGCTACAATGCAATAAGGCATAGAGTTCCCATGCTGGTTGAGTACCGGCAAACACACAAAACAACACTACATTCTGCGTGTACCGCAAAGCGCTTCGTTGTTGCTGCTTCACGACTTTCCCGCAAAGTCAGCTTTAAGGGAGAGTATGACACACACAAATGCAACGCAACGATAGAAGTGTGCTTGTGTTGGTGACACGTACAGCAAGTACTTTTTGTTCTGCTGCACTGACACCAATTAGATAAATATAATTACCTTACCATACATACCAACAATGTGTAACATTTTTTTACGCTCACTGCATACAATTTGGAGTTCTGGTCTCGCATTTCCCACTCGAGAACTGTCTCTGTTTTTTGCGGCAAGCCCAGTGTCATACGTGCAGTTCAAACCGCTTCCAGTACAGCTGGTTCCGTTCAAGAACTAAAAGATCCAGTGACTCATGTACATTTTCTTGCCGGTGTGCAGGCGGCCAGAACAAAAGTGTGATTTACACGAAAATTTAAAAAGCCAAAGACAAAATGGACGAAAAAGAAAAGAATGCACATAAAAAGGAACAGATTATCCAGAATATACGCAACGAGCTGAAGAAAAAGATCAACGACAAGAAGCACATTCTCATCCAGAGCGACCAGGCGGTGGTGGTGAAGGCCGACTATCCCAAGGCGCAGTATCACTTTCGTGTGGTGGCCAAAGCTGATATCGCGGATGTGACCAAGGTAGGAGATGGAAGTTTCGGTGGTGTCTGCATATTAATGGTTTCTTTTTTGTTTGCCCAGCTGACAGCCGATCATCTGCCGCTGCTCGACCACATGATGGACTTGGCCGTGCAGATCATCGAGATGCAGGACCACCTGCCGTCTCGCAATTTTCGCATTGGCTTCAAGGCGGACCCGTTCTGGGACCGCCTGAACATGCACGTCATCTCCGATGACTTTTACTCGATGTCGATGAAGCGCATTAAGCACTGGAATAGCTTCAACACGGAGCTTTTCATGCCCTTCCAGCAGGCCTACATCATGCTGAGCTCTGAGGGCGCCATCGAGCCCATACCCGAGGAGGAGTCCGAAAAGCTCAAGCTCCAGGTGCCACTCCACTGTAATCAGTGCGATTTTGAGTCCCCGTTGCTGTTGTCCCTGAAGGCCCATCTATACACCCATTGGCGGAGCAAAGAGCACGAGCGTCAGATAAAAAAGGAAACGGACAGCATTGCCAAGTTGCTTGACGAAGTTAAATTGGATGACAACGCCCAGCCCCTAGCTTCTGCGATCAGTGAGGAGTCCCAGCAGGAGGTTTTCACTGAAAATGTGAACGGGCCACCGGTAAACATAATGAATCAGGCGAACATCAACAACCCGTTTAGAGGCACGCCGCCACGCTTCGGGATTGCTGCGGTTGCGCCACCACAGCGGCCTGGAAATCCTTTCGGCTATGCGCCGCGTCACCAGCGTCCCGGCAACCCCTTTGCCCGTGCGCCGCGACCTCAGCAGAAAGTCTACCCCTACGGATATGCGCCGTGTCCACAGATGGCCGGCAATCACTTTGGACCGCCATCACGTCCATATGGTAAACATCGTGGCAATATGCAGCCGCGTGGGCCCATGCCGCTTAGGTTTGCTCAGCCACAACCGCAGCATTTCATGGATCAAAATACTGTATTTGCTCCATTCAACCAGCAGCCCCGATTTGCTCCAAATAATCCACAGAACCAGCGCCATCGTGCTCCCAAGCAGCAACAGAACCAGCGTCCTCGTGCTCCCAACCCCCAACAGAATTACGGGAAACCTGCATCGAAGTAGGGAATAAAACGTACGACTGTCGGCGGGTCACACAGAATATTTAACTTCGTTTTAGATATTAAATGAGAATTTATGCCTTACTTCTGATCGTTGATATATAGAATATTTGATTTTGACTACGGTCTGACTTCCTTTTGAGTATGTCCTTTGTAAATGTCTTCGTTACATGTTTTACTTTAGTAGTTGCGTAATTTACATTCTGGAGTAAGGCAGCAGACGCTATGCCAAAAATGAATTCGAATAGGTTACAAAATATATTAAATACAATTATTTGAATGCTTAAATGCCAGCTGGTTAACCTCAATAAATATCAGGCTTTAAAGCTGACCTTTAAGCTGACATTTATGTGTATATTTTTTATAAATTATTATTTATTGCAGGACCTGTGAGGCACCCATTTGATGTCTACACCCACCTGCAGTATAATCTGTAATGTTAAATTGCTGGAAAAATACAAATACAAATTTTTGTAGTAATTCTTGCGCTGCCGCTGCTCGCGTATGTGCTCGCGTAGGATCTGATGGATGTACTCGTCCTCGTTGCCAATCGGCTCATCACTTTCCGAGTCGCTTAGCAGCAGATCGTACAGCCATTCCCGGTCGCTGGTCAAGTCATTAAAGTTGTACAGCTGCGCCTTGACACTCTGTCGCTCTGGGGAAATGCGAGACACAAAAATGAATTATGAAAACTCCTTTTTTCCCCTCTTTTACTCACCCTCCTTGCTGCAGAACAGACGCTTCTTGCAGCGCTGCGACGCCTTCTTGCACTTGATTACACCCACCGTGGAGGAGTCATCGGACTCCGTGTCTGCCTCGCCCTTTAGCTCTGGCAGCCCCTCGTTGTCCGTGTCGCTCTCCTCGTTGCTGCTGCT